AATTTTAACTCTGATTTCTCTTCACAGATGCTGCCAGACCTGCTGAGCTTTTCCAGCAACTTCTGTTTTTGTATCTGATTTACAGCATCCGTAGTTCTTTGTTTGATAAGTTTGGAGCACTTTTGACACTTGTGGCCACAGGAATTAACACGTGGTGTATTGTTCGCATGTTTCATGCATGCAATTAATTTAATGCTGTTTATTGGGCAGTGGAGGTATTTTCTGGACTCCAGTAGAGTTCTTACATTATGTAAATTATTAAACAGCCACAATATCTTACCTGCCCAAAGAGTGGGCATCTGCCATAAACACATCAGTGAAACCTGACACAATCGGCTGGATACCCTTGAATGTGAACCTAACAAACTTACTTGTTGGGCTTGGAGACACTGTTCCTGCTCCCCAGGAGAAAGGTCAGCCCAGTATTGCTAAGGATTCTACCTGTCATAGGCCTGGCCATCAAAGAGTTCCATGCCAGGGAGCTGTAGTGGAATGTTAGTGAGGTCTGCTGTTAGATTAGACCAGGCTCCCTGTTGCACTGAACTTTATATGAATGAGGCTATATTTGCCCTACTCCAGAATTCTCTTCCCTGAAGGCACTTATGATGCACCTGATGTACAGGATATCAAACATTTCAGAATATATCTGGGAAACTAGTTGTAAATCAGCTTATATCATATTACACACCACTACGTGAAATGCAAGAGACAGTGTTTATGATCCCACTGATGTTACCACTCAGACTCCAGAAAGAAATCTGGCTTGATGGATCATTTTTTAAAATTGTCACCTTAATTGTAAAGAGGAGATTTGGGTTGCATTGCCTCATGTTCACTTTAATCACAGTGTGCAGATTATTGAAGTGTTTGGTTAACGATGCCAGTGCTGCGTTTTTCTATTCTGTTACAGAAGCCGTGGTTTTACGACACATGGGAGGTGTGGGTAGGATATCCGAAACAGGTCAGTCACTCTGAGTGTTTAACTGTTAACTGTGGTTCCTGCCTACTTTCAAAACTTTTGTACTGGTAACTCTTGAAGCTGGAGTATCCATCATCATTTGAATTTGGGCCTCAGTATCATGTGTTATTTAGCACTGATATGTTTTTCTTCTTAGTCAGTCCCTCAGGATCACGGTTGACCTGCTCCTATACTCTGGCTCAATGGGTTCTGAGACATCTGATGAGTCCAATGTGTGATCTTCAGACTCTGCTACATCTAGGACAGCTGGTGTTTGGACGGTTGGGTAGTTGGGGTTGTTTGGAGGTTTGTGCACTCCCTTCAATGTCTCAGCTACCCCTAGTTAATCCCTGTAAAATTCTGTGTTCCGTGCCTCCCGATGTGCTCCTTTGCTTGTGACTGACCAAAAGGGCAAAGACTCCCACGATTCGACTCGGATATTTAACCTCTTCAGGAATACTTTGAGGATATATCTAAAGCATTTCCTTCTGTTCTCCTGGGATTTTCCTGCCATGGCCCAGATCAAAATAGAGCAGCTGCTTTGGGGATCTGGATTCAGGTCTAGGGATGATAATGTCCCCTTCAGTGGAGCTGGTGTTCAGTGATTTAATGTCTCAATGCTGGCAAGTCAGCTTGGGAGAAAACAATGCTGTTGAACCACTTTTCTTACACCTGATTCGGAAGGTCCTGCTTATTATATAAATAATGGCAAACAGTGATGCTTATTAGATAATAGTGCTTGAGTACTGATGAAATGAGTGAGTACATACAAGATATTTCCAGTTTAAAGGATGACAGCCACAAGTTAGAGAAAAATGGGCAAATTATCCAGATTATGCTTCCTCTGCCACCCAATAATCTTTTGTGCAGTATCATACCATGACACTGGCTGCTCATCCATGTCTCTGTTACCCGTGAGCTCCAACTGCTTTTCTTTCCCTCTTTCTTTCATTCAGGCTCATTCCCTCTCACTCCCTTTTGTTCTTTACTGCTCTTTGACACAGGGTCCTCCACGATGCCTTCTCAGTCGTGGTGAGTGAGCTGACTTCTCCCAGATTCTTCCTCATTTGCTTCTCACTGCCACCCTGTGGATGCTGTTCCTCCTGTTGAGCACCAGGTCCTCCGCAATCCCCTTCTTGGTCATGGTGAGCGAGCTGACTTCTCCCAGAATCCTCCTCCGTTACTTGCCACCATTGCCCTCTGTTCACTTCTTCCACCCTGTTGGGGGTCACCTCACTCTCTTCCTTGCATTTTGTGCTGTCATCTCATGCAATGGGGGCAAGAAGAGATGTGTATATATAATGGAGAATGACTGACAGAGAAGCATACATGAGAGTGACGGTTACTGGCAGTGGTGGATGTATAAATAGGGATGAGAGAAAGTTAATATGACAGGTAAGGTAAGGGCTATTTTAATCTAAACTTTTTTTTATGGGATGTGAGCATAATTGGCTTGCCCAGCATTTGTTTGTCATCTCCATGTTAAGAATCAACTAATCAAGTGGTTACGTGGTCAAAGATGTGCAGGCTAGGTGAATTGGCCATGCTAAATTGCCCATAGTGTTCAGGGATGTGTAGATTATGTGGGTTTATAGGGGAATGGGTCTGGGTGGGATGCTCTGTGGGTTGGTGTGGACTTGTTGGGCAGAAGGGCCTGTTTCCACACTGTAGGGATTCGATGATCTCGATGACCATAAGTCTAGGTTCTTTTAGTCATTTCGAGTCCTAGAGTCATATAGCACAGAAACAGACCCTTAGGCCCAATCTTTCCATGCTGCCCAGGTTTCCCAAACTGAACAAATCCTATTTTCCTGTATTTGACCCATATCCCTCTAAACTTTTCCAATCCAAGCATTTATCCAAATGTCTTTCAAATGTTGTAATTGTACTCGCCTCTACCACTTCCTCTGGCAGCTTGTTTCATATACGTACCACCCTCTGTGTGAAAAAGTTGCCCATCAGGCCCCTTTTAAATCTTTCTCCGTTCACCATAAACCTATGCCCTCTAGTTTTGGACTCCCCTAGCATGAGGAAATGGTAGGTTTTTAACCCAGAACATTGACTGACATTACCATTAAGTCATCGCCTCTCCTTATGAAGGAATGGCATGCTCTCTTCAGCTTGACAAAGCAGAGGGAACGATTGGGGTATTGAACATGTTTTAAGATGCAAGCGAATTCTTACCACTCCTGACCTGATTAGATCATTGAAAAATTTCCTGCATTAAAACTAGGATCCTGCTCCTGCTGCCTACCATTTTGACTACCTCCAGCCAATCCCTTTATTGTGTTGGTAGTGTGATCTTTTCCAGCCATGCCTCTGATTACTTCCTCTGACAGCAGGGATAGTTCCCTACATCCAGTCAGCTCATTCCTGTTGCAAGCTGGGAAGTTAAACCTATATGATGAAGATTGTATCAAATAATGCAGAGCCAAGACCACTTTTCTATCTACCAAACAACACTATTAGTTTTGTGCCACTGTGACATAGAAGCAATTAACTTAAATTTACAACAGTGTAGCTTGCTGATAAATAATTGAACTGTGGGATAACTGTTGCAGTTCAAACCCCACTCATTGGGCAGAAATCCCACAGAATCAGTTCAGTTGTCCATTTCACATTCAACCTAATCTTCCTGCGCACAGTCTTCACAATAAGACAGAGTGTGGTGTAAAATTCACATTGCGTCTGTTACTGTGGTGGGCTCCTAGTCACCGGAACATTAAGAATGAATAAATGGGACCGTGAGGGAGGTTTTAAAGCTGCTGTTCAGGTGTTAACCTATTGTTGGGGATAGTGCACATTGTGCAGAAATCAGTTGAATGCAACACCAGGTAGTTTCTGTAATGTTAGCTGATCGCAACATCCACAATTCTGAAGAAGTCTCACCAAACATGAGGTGTTAATTCTGTTTCTCTCTCCACAAACACTGCTAGAGCTGCTGAACTTCTCTCGCATCATCTGTGATCTAGATTTAATCCTTATTGATTAATCTCCCTGGGTCTGTATTAATAACACACTGTAAATGAATCTGAGAATGTCATTTTGTTCATGTCTCTTTGCTCTCTTAACAGACACTGTTACCTTCGCAGTATTGGTACTACATAACTGAGCTTAGTTTTTATTGGTCACTATTGTTCAGTATTGCATCAGATGTAAAAAGAAAGGTAAGATTTTGAATCATTTCAATTAATTTGGTGTAAGGTCTACAAGTTAAATTGAATTTTGGTATTTACCTGCAATAAGCTGTAAAGCTGAGGATCAGTTAAGAAACTAATAGATTTTTATTAAGAAGCAGTTTTGACAGTTAGAGTCAAGATGGGTAGATGTATTTGAGCTGTAGGTCAACCATGATTGAATTGAAAGGCATCACAGGGACAGAGGGCTGAATATACTGACCCTGCTTCTTTGTTTCTATGAAGGAACATTGGGTTACATGCAAGGTAACGCACGATCTTCAGCAGTGGAGGCAGGGAATGTTGATATGGTTCCAATCAGGCAGACTGCTTTGCGTTGTCCTGGATGATGTCAAGCTTATGAGTGTTTTAGAAGATGAATGAGCAGCGTAATGAGGACAAGGATGCCTGCAAAATAGCTAGTTTGAGTATTGATGATCATGAAACTATCACCAATTACAGTAAAAACTCATCTGGTTCACTAATGTTCTACAGAAATGAAATCTGTCATCCTTAATTAGTTTGACCTACATATAACTCCCAGAATGTGTTTAACTCTTAAGTGCTCTCTGAAATTCTAATAAGCCACTCCATTGAACCCAAATTGCTACAGAAAAGTCAATTCAGATGGTCCGCAGCAGTTCAAGAAGGTGACTCATCACCATCTTCTCCAGGGCAACTGAAGACAGGCAACAGAGCCTGTGAAAGAAAGAAACAAAAAAACTTACCTTTCTCTTGGGTAGTCAGAGAAACAGAAGCAGGCCATTCAACTTCTGACACTTCATAAATTAAATCAGATCATTGGTTCTGTATCTTTGCATAAAGATAAGCCTCTCCATCTCAGATTTTACAATTTTTAATTGATAATTTCTTTGGAGAACGAGTTCCAGACTTCCACTTCCTGTTGGCTGACACACTGCTCCCTGACATCATCCCAAATGGTCAAGCTCTGATTTGAAGTTTTGCCTCTTTGGGATTTCACCAACAGGTGAATCTGGTTTTTCTGTTTTTACCCTTTCTGATCCTTCTTTCTATCATGTTAAATATATTGGATTACATCATCCCTTAATCTTCTGTACTTGAACATAAGTCTCGTCCATGCAACCTGTTCTCCTAAGTCGAACCCTTTTAGCCTTGTATCATTCTAGGAATCTGGGTGGCTAAAATGCCACTGAAAGGGCAGGATGTACTTTCTGAGGTTCAGTGCCCAGACTGAACTACAGTGGAGTATAACTGGAGCTTCGGGCATCCATAACATAACTTCCACTCATTTGGATTATAGCACCCCTTTAAAAAATGTTAATCCAATGTGGGTATTTATTATTCTTCATACCAGTCTACTGGATTGTTTTCACTTCTGTATATGGACAAAGAGAAAATTGCCTCCAGAATTTATGGCTGGGTGAAGGGATGTGTTGAGTGGTCTTTTTGGCGTTGCTGTTGTATATTTGAGTAAAATTGTGTGTGTGTGTGTGTGTGTGTATACACAGTGAAAAGGTTTGAATCAAAGGAAGAGAACCAATCTGAGTCACAGGAGTTTTGTGTGCTTTGGCTTTTCAAATATTAGAATTTAAACCGAGGGCTGGATTTTTGTGAAGCAGGTGGGAAACATAAGTTGAGAAAGCCCCTTTTGATGTGACATTGTATCAATTGCCACCTCCACCTTGCAACAATGTATCCTCCATATTGGCTCACCCAGAATCCACTACGGAGCCATGTAATAACAGTGGAAAGTCTTTGAAATGAATCTGAATAAAAATTAATCATCTAACAACCTAAGAAAACTAAATAAAAACTGTAAGAACTGCGGATGCTGGAAATAAGAAACAAAAACAGAAATTGCTGGAAAATCTCAGTAGGTCTGGCAGCACCTGTGGAGAGAAATCCGAGTTAACATTTCGGGTCCAGTGACCCCTCTGAGTTCTGAGGAAGAATCACTGAACCTGAAGCATTAACTCTAATTTCTCTCCTCGGATGCTGCCAGACCTGCTGAGCTTTTCCAACAATTTCTATTTTTGAACCTAATAAACACTGACTCAAGCACATTTCACGCTGAGAAAAGAACTCCAGACCCAATGAAAGAAATTCTTAAATTCCCTCAAGTGGTCAATTTAAAGACAAGCAACATCTGTTCAGTAACCAAATCAAATGAGGCTTTATTAAGACCATAAGACGTAAGAGCAAAACTGGGCTATTCAGCCCATTGAGTCTTCACTGCCATCCAGCATGATCATGACTTATCTGTTAACCCTCAACTCTACTTTTCTGTCGTTGCCCCATAAGCTTTGCTTCTCTTACTGATTAAAGATCTATCTGTCTTAGCCTTGAGTATACTTAATATTTTTAAGGTGGAGGGAGATTGATTCTTGATTACTGAAGGGATAAAAGATTGAGGGATGTGTAGAAATGTAGAGTTGAGGTTAAAAACAGATTTGCCACGATTTTTTGGAATGGTGGAGCAGGCTTGAATGACAGAGTCTTTGTCTGTAAAGACTTCCACAGATTCACTATCCTCTGAGAGGAGAAATTCCTCCTCATCTGTGACCTCAATGGTGATCTCTTATTTTGAGATTACACCTCTGGTGCTAGACTGTCCCACAAGGGAAGCAATTTTTCCACATAAACTCTATCAAATCCGTCCATCAGAATCTTGTATGTTTTAAAAAGGTTCCCTATTTTCTTGTAAACTTCAATGAGTACAGACCTAACTTACTGAACATCTCCTTATAAGATAGTCCCTCCGTATCTGGGATCAACCCAGTGAGCTTTCTCTGGACTGCCTTTAATTCTGTATATCTATCCTTAAACAAGAGGCCCAAAACTTTTCATAGTATTCCATATGTGGTCTAACTAATACCTTACATAGTTTTATCAAGACTTCCCTATTTTGATGCTCAATTCCTTTTGAAATAAAGGCCAGTGTATCATTTGCCTTCCCTATTACCTGTTGGACTTTTTGGCTAGTTCTTTCTGGTGATTTTTGCACAAGGAATCCCAAATATCTCTGTGCTGAAGCTTACTGTAGTCCTTAATAAAGAATGAATAATCTGATAAAACTGTCAATCAACTATGTGTACAATCCCTTCCTGAGAAGTTATTATAAAGCTTTTGAAACTCAGCGAAATATTAATAATGGGATCAGCTGTCAAAAGAAATCAACATTGCTCCAATGGAGCCTATCGAAACTGAAAAAGCAGAACTTCTTTTCTGTTTCAAGGCAAATGCCTCATCAGTTGAAGAATTCCAGAGCAGGTGGGGACGGGGTCACCTCTGTGAATTATAACTCCTTGGAGATGTTGTAAGCCAGGTATATACTCAGATGCAGTTGGGGAAGTTTGAACTGCCCATCTCTACATTGGAGCCAGCAATGATGGGAGTTGTTACCTGTTCACCCACCCCATTACCTGGCACAAGGGGCCAGGTATCCCAGAATCTGATCCTGTCGACTGTTTTTAAAAAGGGCGCCCAAGGTTGTCTGATTGTAAATTCAGCATAGAGCTTCTATTCTCTGCCCTCAGTGGGTTAGAAATGTCCAGATACAAGAATTAACTCAGCATTCTAAATGCTTGATTCTTAATCAAGGAAGCCGATTGTGTGATGTTTTTCCTGTGTCTGTATTCATTGACTGTTACTTTTATTGATTGATTAGGATTTCAAAGAACAAATAATTCATCACTTAGCAACCATTATCCTGCTGAGCTTCTCATGGTGTGCAAACTACATCCGCGTGGGAACCCTGGTGATGATTGTCCATGATTCATCTGACATCCTGCTGGAAGTAGGTGAATTTACAGAGACGTAAATATTAGCTCTACATTCCGCGTATCTACCTCGTGCTGAAGAAGTATTTGGGCTCATTTAAACTTACACAGCTTATACTAGCTTTATTTGGATTATCACTGATTACAATGGAAAAGAGTATCAGGCAGTGTAAAACTGGTCACTTACTCTCTACGTTTTTTTGCCCTCCTGTCCAGGACCAATTTCAGCCCTACGGTACCCATATGGAAAGGGAGAAGGTTGATGAGGGTCATTGTGGCAGGTGATTTACGGTCAGGGTAATAGGAAGAATGGATTTTCCTTATTCCCTATTTAATACCAGGGCATGGTTAGTATTTTGTCATGGTTCCCAGCCACCGCCAGATTGGGAGCCTTTTCTGGTGGATACAGTTCCAGCAACAGGGCACAGCTGAGGAAGGGAAAGTAAGGAGAGAGGGCTTGGAATCTTGGATGGTCAAAGAAATTAGGATTAATAGAAAGGTCAGCAATGGTAGGGTCTGTAGAGATATTGGAAGGAAGGAAGGATTGCGAGGAGATGGGGAAGCAGTAGGAGGGAAATGAAGATTGCGGAGTATGTATATATTGAAAGGACCCCAGCTCACCCATGCTGTGGGTTTGGTACCATCACTGTGACATTAACAAGTTTACTCACAGGATGAGCCCACTTCTCTTTGCTCATAGGCCATGTTGGAAGTGGCTTTCTGGTTTCCATGTTGCAATCCTCACCTCCCTTCGGCTGCTAGGTTTCCTATGAGCAGAAATCCCCAGCTGGGTAATGTTCAGCTGGAAAAGAGAAATAACCTCAAAAACACACCTTTATTCAAATAAAACAATGACACTCCCACTTCCTGAAAGTGGATTGCTCATCCTTCCTCCCAAGTGTCAGATGTTAAAAACAGAAGTGCTGCAGGCTTCTGAAAAAGGGTCTAGGCCCGAAACGTCAGCCTTCCTGCTCCTCTGATGCTGCTTGGCCTGCTGTGTTCATCCAGCTCTACACCTTGTTATCTATTGCTGCAGGCTTGAGGTGGGTTCCAGTCCGGTTTGGCATTTGCTGCATTTAACTTCGTAACCACCCAAAATTCTAACTCTAGGGTTTATCCCGTGTTGTTACTGCCTGAGAGACCACATCACTGACATCAGTGTGGAAAAGTGTCCGGATAATTCCTGTCCACAAAAAACAGGAAAAGTCCAATTAGGCCAATAATCATCCGATCAGTCAACTCTTGGTCATCAGCAAGTAACGGTAGGCCTCGTTGACAGTGACACTTTGAAAGGAATATCCTACTTACTGCTCACTTTGGGTTCTGCAATGGCCACTCAGTCTCTCACCTATAATTGTCTTGGTCCAAGCATGAACAAAAGAGCTAAATTCCAGAGGTGAGGTGAGAGTAATTGTACACAATAGCGAGGTTGCATTCACGATGTAGGGCATCAAGGAGTCCCAGCAAAACAGGGAGTCATACTTGGCACAAAGAAAGATAGTTGTGGTTGTAGGTGGCCAGACGTCTCTGCAGGAGTTCATGAGGCTAGTGTCCTACACCCAGCCATCTTTTGCTACTTCATCAATGACTTAGCCTCCATCAAAAAGTCAGAAATGGGATGTTCACTGATGACTGCACAATGTTCAGCACCCTTTGTGTCTCCTCAGATACTGAAACACTCCGTGTCCAAATGCAGAAAGACATGGATAATATCCGGGCTTGGGCTGACAAGTGGCAAATAACATTTGCGCCAGACAAATAGGAGGCAATAATCATCTCCAACAAGAGAGTATCTAACCATCACCCCTTGATGTTCAATGACAATAACGCCACTGAAATCCCCCATTATCAACATCTTGGGTGTTATCTTCAACTATAAACTGAACTAGACTAGCCATATGTATACTGTAGCTACAAGAGCAGGTGACACTCTGCTGATTCTGTGGCAAGTAACTCGCCTGATTCCCCAAAGACTGTCCACCATCTGTGAGGCACAAGTCAGGAGTGTGTGGTAGAATACTCCCGACTAGCCTGGATGAGTGCAGTTCCAACAACACTCAAGAACCTCATCCAGGACAAAGCAACCCACTATATTCACTCTCTCCACCACTGCAAAACAGTAGTAGCATGTACCATTTGCAGTAACTCACCAAGACATCAATAGCGTCTTTCATACCCGTGAACTATACCTTCCAGAAGGACAAGGGCAACAGACACATGGGAACGCTGCCATGTGCAAGTTTTCCATCTTGGAAATATATCACTGTTGCTGGATCTCCTTCCCACACATGAATTGCAGTGATTTAAGGCACTTCCGTGCCACGGTCTCAAGAAGTAAGAATAGGCAACAAATGATGATCTTGCCAATAACATCCCATGAATGAATTTTTTAAAAACCCTGTTTGGGATAACTAACTTTTGTAAATATTGACATGGGAAAATGTCCCTGATGTTAATTGAATGGGCTCACCACCATCCAAGACTGAATTAGTGATTGTCAGAGATCCTGTTTTGATTTGATGTCTAGCTGTACACAGCATCACAGATATTGGGGGATGCCTGTGGACTGTAAGTTGGTTTGAATGTAGTTTGGGTCTCTATCTCATCCACCTGCTGATGTTCTTTGGCCCCTCCACTGTAACACACCACACAGGCTGGCTGCTGGGCAAGAGGCAAACATGTATGTGGCTACTTTCAGCCTTGCTGTAAATCCTAGAGTTTTAAAGATTTCTACTGCCTTCAGATAAAATTGTGTGTAGATATTGAAATTGTCCTTTTATGAATGTGATAAATATATGTTTATAGTCCATCCTGTGTGCTCATTGAAACATGAAACTATGTCCAGTTCATTTAATTTTGCTGTGAAGTAATTAACACTGAATCCTCTGACACTTTGACAGTCTGCCAAGATGCTTAACTACGCTGGGTGGAAAAGAGTCTGTAACTCACTCTTCATTGTCTTTGCTGTCATATTTATAATCACCAGGCTTGTCATCTTCCCTTTCTGGTGAGTATCATCACAAAATCCTTCTTTGTGACTTCAGGAAAGAAGTGGTTTCAGGCATTGGCTGCTGTACTTTACTCCTTAACACAATGATTGCTCAACAGAAATTCTTTTTAAATTAAAGTACAGTGAGTTCAGTAAGCAGCATATTGAGAGCAGGGACTTTTGACAATGTAACCACACAGCATGTTTATGAGGACTGTGATGAGGGACTTCAGTTATGTGAGGGATTGGAGAAGCTGACTTGGTTTTCCTTGGGATAGGAAAAGTTAAGAGGAGATTTAATGAAAGTGTTTAAAATCGCAAATGATTTCTGGTGGTGTAAGTATTTGCTCACCAAAGGATACAGGTTCAAAGGAATTAGAAGAAGTGTCATATGGAAATATTTTTGATGCAGCAAATTGCTGAGATCAGGAACATATTGCCTGAAAGGACAATGGAGGCAGAATCAATAGAAACTTTCAAGTGAATATTAGACAAATACTTGAAGGGGAAATGTTTGCAGGATTAAAAGGAAAGAGCAGAGGGAATGGGGCTAAATGGATAGCTGTTCCAAAGAGATGCATCCATAGCAGACTGAGACACCTCTTATGGTTCTGTGCCCTGATGTTCTATTATTTAACGTGCAGTATATGATCATGAGGACAGCTGAGGGGTGTTGTGATGAGGGAGATCTCACTTGTCCTTGTGCTGCCTCATTACAACCATTTGCTGCAGACTGCAGGGACCAGAATAAGAGGTCCTTTTCACTGCCTGGTTTCTATCTAGGATAACTTTTTTCTACCAGTTCTCTTTTAAAAGAAAGGCTTAAAGCTGTGTGACATATTCCAGAAGTGGTGCACATCATTTTCAGTATTGAGTTGTGATTATAATTATTTATTAATGATCTCGGAATACATCCGGACTGATGGGATTTACTTTAATATGGTAACATTTAACTTCTGTTCTTATTAACAGGATCATTCATTGTACTTGGGTCTATCCAGTTTATCACTATCCTCCATTCTTTGGATATTATTTCTTCAACGTCATGCTGGCTGTCCTTCAACTGCTCCATATTTTCTGGGCGTACCTCATCTTACAAATGGTGGCAAAATTCTTCTCCAGCAAAGTAAGTTGTTTCCTGACAATGAGAAATGCTCAGTGTGATGAGTACTGAAATTGCCTCCACGTCAGCTGTAGATGTAACAAGAAAGCACAGGGACATGCACTGATACTGCGCAATTCCAAATATTGCTTAAAGAGTTTGCATTCACATGAATGGTTCAAAAATTTTTTCAATTTTCCCATGGGCTGCATGGTGGCTCAGTGGTTAGCATTGCTAACTCATAGTGCCAGGGACCCAGGTTCAATTCCAGCCTTGGGTGACTGTGTGGAGTTTGCAGGTTAGGTGGATTGGCCATGCTAAATTGCCCTGTAGTGTCCAGGGCAATGCACGCTAGGTGGATTAGCTATGGTGAAAATGCAGGATTATGGGGATAGAGTGGCGGGCTGGGTCTGGGTAGTATGCTGTTTAGAGGGTTGAAGCTGACTCTATGGGCCAAATGGCCTCTTTCCGCACTGTAGGGATTCCCTGATTTCCCTTGTTCAGTTCTGTGAGGAATGTGTGTCTATTACCTTCATGTTGAACTAGCTCACTGTGCCTCAACCATAGCAGAAGTAGGATTCTGTCAATTTGGTATCAGACTGAAGAGTCCTCAGCTTGGCTGTACCTACCACTGGGTCAGAGAGGAAGACTAACTGATGCCTAGTGAATTTTCTGTCTGTAATAAGGAGGTAGATCTTGTATTCTCTTTTAGGGTGAGACAATGATTTTCTTAAATTATTCAGTTTTTTAATGTAATAGATGTACTTGTGCGGATTGTGTAACATTAATGATGAAGGCAGTCTCTGTCTAGGATTAGTTAGGGGGAAAGTTGACTAGAACAGCTTCTGATAGTGCTGTGCAATGTGTCATCTCAATCTTGGATTGAAACCTTAACCCAAAGGACAGCATCTTTGACATTGCTTCCCTAAGCGCTAGGGAGAGAAAGGGAGAAAAACACCTTCCATAGTTTTATTTTATGACCGATTTTCAGTTTTGCACCTCCTTTTGACCCTGCTCTTGGCTTTCCCTCCCCAGCAGAGCTGTTTAAATCTCCCCACCAGCCATATCCCATACTCTCCTGCCACGATAAAGATCCCTCCATGTACAACATGTGTGGTTCATACTGGACCTGATACTACTTTTTTCATTGCCCCCACCCCGCAAAAGCTGATCTCCAAGGAATCTAAAGCCTCCTTCCTGCACTGTGTCTCTAGCTACATGTTTCACTGTGCTAACTGATAACAGGATAAATCCAGCGATTACTATCTTTGAAGACCTTTGTTGTTCCTTCATGGCTCACTGAAACCTAGCTGAAGAAGCTCAGATCTCTTTGTACCAATCTCAAACATGTACTAATATATTCATGTTGAACTAGCTCACCAATGTGACATGTGTTGACTGGACCACCCAGAGTGTAAAAGGCCCAGACAGGGTGGAATTTGTCAAATGTGTCCAAGAAAGTTTCCTAAATCTATATGTAGAGGGCCCTACTCGGGAGGGTGCAACACTGGACCTCCTCATAGGAAACGAGTTTGGGCAAGTGACTGAACTGTCAGTTGGAGAGCACTTTGGGTCCAGTGACAATGACTCTTTTTTTTCCCATAACTATGTTAAAACTGTAGGAACAAAAACAAAGTTGCTGGAAAAGCTCAGCAGGTCTGGCAGCATCTGTGAAGGAAAAAACAGAGTTAATGTTTCGGGTCTGGTGACCCTTCCTCAGAACAGTTCTTTTATTTTTAGCAACTTTTTAGCAACTTATTATTCAGCAACTTTTATTTTTTCCTGACTTACAGCATCCGTGGTTCTTTCAGTTTTTATTATGGAATAAAGTAGGACAGATCCACAAGTTAAGGTGCTAAACTGGAGCAGGGCCATTTTGGGGCCAGTAGGCAGGATCTAGCAGAGGTTGATTGGGTGAGTCTGCTTGAAGGGAAAGGAATGACTGACAATTGGGAGGCTTTTGAAAGTGAGATATCAAGAGTCCAGGGACAGTATGCCCTTTTAGGGTGAAGGGAAAAGCTGGCAGGTTTAGGGAACCCTGGCTGACGAGGGGTGTTGAGGCTCGGGTCAGGAAAAAGAAGAAGGCATACATTGGGTTTAAGTTATTGGGCTCAAGTGAATGTCTAGATGACTATAAAAAGTGTAGGAGCACACTGAAGAGGAAATGAGAAGAGCAAAAGGAGGATATGAGATGAATCTGGCAGGTAAGGTTAAAGATAATCCCAAGAGGTTCTGTAGCTATATTAAGAGTGAAAGGGTGGCTAGGGAGAGAATAGGTCCCCTTAAAGATCAGCATGGCCATCTGTGTGTGGAGTCAGGGGAGATTTTTAATGAGTATTTCTCTGCAGTGTTTACTGCGACTGCGGAGAAAATCAAGAATGCTGAGGAAATATGGGAAACAAGTGGAGATGTTTTGGATAACATGCACATTACCAGAGAGGAGGTCTTTGCAGCCTTAAAGTGCATTAAGATGGATAAATCCCCTGGGCCTGATCCAGTCCATCTTCGGATGTTGTGGGATGCTAGGGAAGAAATTGCAGAGGCCCTTGCAGAGATTTTTGCTTCATCTTTAGCCACTGGTGAAGTTCCGGAAGATTGGAAGGTGGCTAATGTTGTTCCATTGTTTAAGAAAGGTAGCAAAGATGAGCCAGGGAACTACAGGCCAGTGAGCCTGACATCAGTGGTAGGCAAGCTATTGGAGAGGATACAGAGGGACAGGACCAACCATCAAACAACACAAGACCAGAACAAAGAAGAGAGATATGCTGCAGGAGAAAACTGACCAAACTGATCCACCACAAAAGCAAGGTCAACAACAAACCAGACTCGTGGATAAGAAACCTATCCAGCAGACCATTTGTAGAAACCAAGAAAGCTGTTCTTTTACGCGGGCTAAACTATAACCACAGAGACAAACAGAACAGACTTCATGGCCGCTCTGGAAGCTACACCAAAAGGTAATGGACTCACAGACGAAACACAACAAGCCACCTGACAAACTATAATCCCTACACTGAACCGGAGGAATGAATGGGACATCCTCAACACATCAGAGAGAAAAGCACTCGAAGGACTCAACAAAGACAGTAACACCATAATCCAAAGGGCACATGACCGTCATTATGAACAAACCAGACTACATTCAGAAAGCACAGGCACTGCTTGCAGATACACACACTTACCAACAGGTGGAGATAGACCCAACACTGCAGCTAGCGAACAGGATCATTCAAACACTGAGGAGACGGAAAAGTGCAGGACAAATAACCAAGACTACATGAAAATGAAACCAGAAGGCTCGAATACCCCCTGCATCTGCATCCTACCCAAAGTACACAAACTAGACATACCTATCAGACCCACTGTCTCCCTCCTAGGCACACCTACACACAAAGTGGCCAAGGACCTACAACAGAGACTGAAACACCTGGTCAAAAGATCACCCCACTCCATCTACTCAACCCAGCAATTCCTTCACAACCTCAAGAATGTTAAAATCAACAACGTTGAGATTGTGGTATCCTTTGACGTCACAGCACTATTCACGTTCATTGACCTACCACTAGCCAAAGAAACACTTGCCACATTACTGGGTGCAGCAGAAACGCCGAGTCTAAACAGCTCCATCAGCAAGGACAACGTACTTAGGCTAACAGACCTATGTCTCACCACACACTTCATCTTGAATGGCCAAATATACAAACAAATCAATGGCACACCTATGGGGTCACCCACCTCCGGACGTATTGCAGAGGCAGTCATGCAATACCTGGAACGCATTACCCTCCCCCTCATACAGCCAAAACTGTGGATCTGATACGTGGACGATGTGTTTGTCATCATTAAACGCAGAAAGTTAGAAGAGACACACCAACTCATCAACAACGTTTTCACTGGGATCAAATTTACGAGAGAAGAGAAAGAAAACAATCAACTTCCATTTCTAGATGTCAGGGTAGAACAAATGACCAACAGGGAGCTCCAGACCACAGTATATAGGCAGGGAACCCACACTGACCAAATCCTCAAGTTTCACAGCAATCAACCCCAATGTCCACAAACAAAGCTGTATAGGGACACTATTCAAATGAGGCACAACGCACTGCAACATGCCAGAAACTACGCAGGAAGGAGGAAGAGCACCTATATAAGGTCTTTGCTAACAATGGATATCCCAACAACTTCACCCGCAGGTGCCTACTAGATAGACAATGCCAAGAGAACACAGTACGTCCCAATACATTGGCCACACTACCCTTTATCAAGAACGTATCAGAACTGACAACGAGACTCCTACGGCCACTAGGAATCATGTTAACACACAAACCCACAGCCACACTACAACATATACTCACAAGGACCAAAGACTCCATGCCCATGACATGCAGGACCAATGTAGTTTACAAAATACCTTGCAATGACTGCAACAAACATTACATCGGCCAGACCAGAAGGAAACTAGCCATCAGGATATATGAACACCAGCTAGCAGCAAAACGACACAACAAACTTTCCCTCATTTCAGTGCACTCGGACAATGAAGGCCATCAATTTAACTGGGACAACATTACCATCCTAGCTCAAGCCAATTATAGACACGCACAGGAATTCCGAGAGGCCTGGTTTTCAACCCATAATGCAATCAACAAGCACGTGCAATTGGACCCTATATATGAACCCATGCACAAAAGAACCGGAAATGACACAACCCAACTTAACAGACCAGATCATATATATTCCAAGTGGAGTAGAACAACATTGCTTCATCAGAGGCCGCACTTATAATGTTACCTAGCATGGTGATGAAACCCCTGTACGATAACCAGCCAGCTTGGCGAGCAAGCCAGCTATCTCATCCACAACCCAAGCTACAAATCTTCACAAAAACATTAATCATAGATTTGAGCGCGGGAAGTCATGCCTGACAAATCTTTTACAGTTTTTCAAAGAGGTAACCAAGAGGATGGATGAGGGTAGGGCAGCGGATGTTGTCTATATGGACTTCAGTAAGGCATTAGTTAAGGTCCCGCATGGCAGGCTAGTCATGAAGATTAGGTCGCATGGGACCCAGGGAGAGCTAGCTAATTGGATTCAAATTGGCTTGATGGTAGGAAGCAGAGGGTGATGGTTGAACATTGTTTCTTGGACTAGAGGCCTGTGACTAGTGGTGTCCCACAGGGGGTCGGTGCTGGAACCTTTTGTTATTTTTTCTTTACATGAATGATCTGGATGTGAATGTACAAGGCATGATTAGTAAGTTTACAGATGATACAAAGTTGGGAGGAATTGTTGATAGTGAAGAGGGTTATCAAAAATTACAGAAGAATCCTGATCAGATGGGCAAGTGGGCTGAGGATAGGCAAAAGCAATTCAATATAGATAAGTGTGAGGTGTTGCATTTTGGGAAGTCAAACTAAGGTAAGACTTCTACAGTAAATGGTAAGGTCCTGAGGAGTGTTGTGGAACAGAGGGACCTAAGAGTACAAGTACATAGTTCACTGAAAGCGACGTCGCAGGTGGACAGGGTGGTGAAGGAGGTATTTAGCATGCTGGCCTTCATCAGTCGAGGCATTGAGTATAGGAGTTGGGACGTTATGTTACAGTTGTATATGTCTTTGCTGAGCCTGTACTTAGAGTATTGTGTACAGTTTTGGTCACCCTGTTATAGGAAAGACATTGTTAAACTGGAAAGCGTGCAAAGAAGATTCACGAGGATGTTGCCAGGACTTGTAGGCCTCAGTTATAGGGAGAGGTTGGCCAGGATAGGACTTTATTCCTTGGAATGTAAGAGAATGAGGGGTGACCTTATTGAAATACATAAAATCATGAGGGGCATAGATAGGATGAATGCATTTAGTCTTTTTCCCAGGGATGGGGAATTGAAAACTAGAGGGCATAGATTTAAGGTGAAAGGGGATAGATTTAAGAAGGACTCGAGGGGCAACTTATTCACGCAGAGAGTGGTGTGTATATGGAATGGGCTGCCAGAGAAAGTGGTAGAGGCAGGTACAATAGCAACATTTAAGAAACATTTGGATAGGTACATGGATGGGAAGAGTTTAGAGGAAAATGGACCAAATGCGGGCAATTGGAACTAGCTTAATGGGCACCATGGTCAGCATGGACCAATTTGGGCCAAAGGGCCTGTGTCCATGCCATATTACTCTTTGATTCTATAACATAGACCACAACCTCTGTCTGTTTACCCTCCAAGTGATCTTGAACTGTTGCAACCCCTACCTCAAGATGGCTGAGTCACTGAGCAGTGCTATGGGCCTGCTTCTGATGGCATTTTCTGGAGTGGCAATTGCTCTCAGATGTATTCATAACTAATAGCTGGTTGGAGATCAACTCCTACACAAACCCCGATCCTTCTCAAATGCGTGGCAGTCTCTGGGTCCTACACACCTTGGATGTAGATTATAGCCAAAAATGTGCTATTCGTGCAGCTCCCAACCTCCCAGTTGCACTGCAGTGATTCTAGCTGCTGCGGAAATACCAGATGTTTTGTTCCTGGCTTACACTTGCACTGTCACTCTCTCTCACTCTTTTTTTTCTCTGTCTTTTTGTTTCTCTCTCTCATTTTGACTACTTCATTCCCAGCCTTGCTGTCCCTCTGACCATTATAACCTGAAAGGTTTTAGAGCCAAACTTCCTACTGTCTTGATTTGAATTTTGTTTCCTGTGATCTTCATGTTGCTCATGGTTCTGTCTCACTGTGAGCATGTCTCAAATCAGAATTCCAGGATCTGTGCTCATGAGCAACTAGAGATCAACAAGGTAATAGAAGCTTGAATTCTCTAGATCAGTGATCCTCATATCAATGGAGAGATCTGCTGGTAAACTTTCAATTCAACCTGCAGTATTTATACCCCAATTTAATTGCAGGTTGTCAGAAAATTATAAGGGCTGGAATTTTAATGATGTATATTGTATGTTTTGAATCGTTTGCTGTAACTCCCCAAGAATGAATTTAAACCTCTAGCTTTTTAAAAAGATTTGTTTTTCTGGTCGAGTAGATAATTGTGGTGTGAGGAAAATCTTCGTTTAATTTAAAGTAGCCTGGGCATGGTCTTTCTGGGGTCGTTCTAACCCACTGATCAGCAACAAAAACAGTTTTGATGTTTATTAATATCCCTTAATCCTGAGCATCCTGCAAGCACTCAGTGTGCTCTGTCAGTCACTGCGTTTTGTTTAATTTGCA